AGGAAGGAGAATCATGGGCCTGGGCAGTTAAACTGCAGTGAGCCGTGATCACGCCACTGCACTCCAGCCTGGTGACAAAGAAGACCCTGTCTCCAAAAACAAAAACAAAAAAACCACCACATCACATTGTACACAAATATGAGCAATTTTTGCATGTCAATTGTAATTCAAAAAAGTCGTGGCAGGTAGGGGACGAGGCAGTACAATAAAACCCCCTAACCTGGCCAGGCGCGGTGGCTCACACCTGTAATCCCAGCACTTTGGGAGGCCAAGGCGGGCAGATCATGAGGTCAGGAGTTCAAGACTAGCCTGACCAACATGGAGAAACCCCATCTCTACTAAAGATACAAAAATAAAAAATTAGCCGGGTGTGGTGGCATGTGCCTGTAATCCCAGCTATTCAGGAGGCTGAGGCAGGAGAATTGCTTGAACCCAGGAGGTGGAGGTTGCAGGAACTGAGTGCACCACTGCACTCCAGCCTGGGTGACAGAGCAAGACTCCATCTCAAAAAAACAAAACAACAACAAAAGAAACCCTCACCTCTCTGCTTGCAGAAATGCAAGATTTCCATCTGGGCAGCTTTCCTCAAACTTTTGGCCTTTGCATCCCACAAGAATATTTAACACTATGTTTAAACAAACCATGAAACTGCAGACTTCATCAGTCTTTGCAGTAATGTCCTCTTGTAGAGGCAGAATCTCCTTCAGGATGGGACAGTGCACTTAGCAATCACATCTCTGTGGCTGCAAAGCCTGCTTCTCATTTATGCCACGAGACACGTGGCCAGCACAGCTGCTGTGTAGGCTTAAGCAAATTGTTTTCGCGCTGTGAGCCTCAGGCCCCTCTTCTATAAGATGAAAAAGCACCATTGTTTGGGAATATCTGATAAGATATTGACGTGAAAAGGCCCTATGAACGCAAAGGCATTGTTACACACCTGTGTGCTCCCTCGGTGCTCCTGGGAGTGGGCGTTTGCTGAGTGTGTGTCATCTACAAGCTGGTCAGGGATGGAAGATGCCTTCCCTCCTAACATCCAGAAGGGAACGAAACCCCCTTTCCTCCTGGAATACAGAACTTCATCTCTGCACCCAAGCCAAGACACCAGAGACTCTTGGCATGTTCAGATACGACCTGGGGATCATGAAACGTTCGGGAAAACCTGCGGGACTGACTTGGAGTTTTTTCAGATCCACTTTCTTTTCCTCCTGGCCCCAGCCCCCCTCATTTGTCAAGGTATAATTGACAGATAGAAACTGCATACATTAAAGGTGTACAACGTGATGATTTGCGGTATACAGGAAGTAACACAGCGTCGCCTCACCTCAGTCCCTTCACCCATTCGTTTTGTCACCATCTGTCTGAGCACATGGATACTCACCTTCTTTCTTGTGGTGAGAACACGTAAGATCCACTCTCCTGGCATGTTCTAATTAAACAGTGCAGTCTGATTAACTGTAGACACTGCTGCACTTTAAATCCCTGGAGCTTACGAATATTACAACTGAAGTTTTTACCCTTCGAACAGTATCTCGCCATTGCCTCGAAACATGATAGACTTGCCGTGTGGCCCGGCAATCCGCCACTGGGTGTAAACCCAGAGGAAATCGGCACATCTGCGGGGCATGTGCACTCCCTTGTTGGTTTCAGCCCTGTTCTCGTAGCCGAGATGTGGAGTCCCCGAGTGACCAACGGTGAATGGAAAAAGGGATGTGATGTGTACACACAGCAGAGTGCCGTCAGCCAGGACAGAATGAGGTCCTGTCGTTGGCAGCAACACGGACAGGCGGGAAGTGAGCCAGGCACACAGAGACAACAGTGCGTGAGCTCCCTCATACGGGGTCCAGAAAAGCTGAGCTTGGGGCGGGAGAGAGGAGTAGGAAGGTTCCCAGGAGCTGGGTGTGCTGGCGGAAGGTGGTTGACGGGGATGGAATTGGTTTCGCATGGACTCTCCTGGAGGGAAGCTTTGCTGCCAGGCTGCTTGCCAGAGTGGGGCAGGTGGTCATGGCACAGGTCCCTCTGAAGCACGAGGCCTCTCCAAACCAACAGACCACTCTTGGCTCAAGGGAACCGGATGAGCAGCGGGCGACCTGACTCCTTCCTACAAAGAAGCACGAGGAAGGACATGAGGCTGTTGGATGGGATGCAGGGAACAGGTGAATCTTCAGAGGCATCCTGCCAGCTGAGACGTGGAACCATCTCATGAGGGAGGGAGGTGCCCACCAGAGGGCACAGAGAAAGGAAGACAGAGAAAAGGGAGGAGTCTGAGCTGTGGGGGAGGGGCTCACAGCAGGGGGAGAGGACAGAGGAAGAGGAGACTGAGTTCTGAGGGAGGGAGACTCAGCGGTGGGGAGGATGGAGGAGGAGGAGGCTGAGCTGTTGGGGAGAGGGAGTCACAGCACAGAGTGAGGGAGAGGAGGGTTTGCTGAGTTCATGGTGATCAGACGGGACCCTTGTCGCAAACCCCAAACCCAGGGGCTGCTTCTCTAGTAGAAACGGACCTGTCCAGGCTCGTTCTGTGCTGTGGGGCCACTCCGGGGCTTCTTGCCAGCCTGCAGGATGGCTTCAGTCCTGGTATATATGGGGTCCCTCTGCACTGGGCTTGGTCTATAGTTGGTGGGCAGCCAGGGCCCAGCCACCTTATTGCCTGGGCAGCAGGTGCAGGTCCGAGGCCTCTGGGCCCGCCATCCCCCCAGCCCTTGGGAGGTGGCTGTAAGAACGCCCTCCTTGCTTAAACTGCACCCAGGATGCCAGCCCACCAGCTGTGAAAGCCCCCGGGAGGAGGGCTTATGGTGGGGAATCCTGGTGGAAGCTGGCAACTCCAGGGACATGGTGACATGTGCTTTCCTCAGGAAACTGTCTCTGCTCCCCTCCACCTGTACCCCTTTGGGCAGACAACAGCTCCATGAGGGTTCTCTTTGCAGTGGATTCCAGCCAGGAAAAGACAAGGTCCACGGCCAGCCACGGCATCCTGTGGCCTCCCACGGTGGAAAGGACACCCCGGGCACAGTGCCTCCCGACAGCAGGTGTCCCATGAAGTGGTGTCGGAGGCAGAAAATCCACCCCAGGGGTGACCATGGTGTCTGGAGACGCGTCGGGGAGGCAGCAGTGAGGAAGGAAGGCCAGGAGGGCCAGCAGCTCCTGGGGGCTGTGAGGGCATCACTTCTCCCAGGAGGACCTGCAGGGGGCTGGCCCACGGACATTCGTTCAGCACTCTCCACCGCCCTGTCCTGGAGGGGGTGGGGCGTGTGTGAGCACACACACAGGCATGCACACACACAGGCATGCACACACAGGCATGCACACACAGGCATGCACACACACAGGCATGCACACACACAGGCATGCACACACACAGGCATGCACACACACACAGGCATACACACACACAGGCATGCACACACAGGCATGCACACACACAGGCATGCACACAAGGCATGCACACGCACTTCTGCATGGCTGGAGCAGCTCAGGGCCAAGCTCCTGGTGTGGGGGGTGGGCCCGCCTTCCAGCCTTTCCCTCCTCCCTGGTGCTGTGGTCTAAATGCCTGTCCCTGAGATTCACACGTTGAAATGCTCACCAGCCAGGTGACAGGATGAGAAAGTGAGTGATCATGACATACAGCTGCTCAGGCTGCAGGATGGCATGGCCATTATCCCAGAGACCCCTCGCCCTCTTTCTGAGTGAGGACACATGAGACACTGGCTGTTGCCAGGAAGAGCCTGGGGTGCCCTGTGAGGGCACAGAGGCTGGGCACCCCGTCTTCCCCACCCTCCCTCTGCCACAGCCTGAGACATTCTCCTGGGCCCAGCTCCACACCCTGCCCAGCTGGCCCCTTCTTTGGCTCCCTGTTGCTGGTAGCCAGGACCCTGTTGGCAGCACCCCTCAGGCCAGGTGCCCAGGTGTGGTGCAGGGTCCCGCCTCACATGCCGCCCTGGCTCCCTCCTCCCTCCATGCGGGGAGAGGCTCTGCCCTCATCCCTATCCAGGTTGAGTGCCTCTGGACCTGGGCGCTCCTTGGAAAGGCACAGGGCTCTCAGCAGTGGCCCTCTCTGGCTGCTCCTCCCAGGTAGGGCCTGCCCAGTGCCCGGTCCACCCTGCTTCGTGGCCAGGGCCATGGGGACAGGGCCAGCCCCTCTGGAGTATGAAGCAGGGTGGCGTCAGCAGCCCTCCCCAGGGCTGATCCCTCCACCTAGGCAGGCTGGGTTCTCATAGGAACCCCCGTGCTCCCACATAAGGATGCCTCTGAGACCCAGCTGAGGGCTCCAGGAGGGCTCCGGGTGCCAGCCGGCTGTCACAGGCCTGGGCCTGGCCAAGTATGGTACCCCAGGCTCCTGCTCTCCTTCCTTCACTGCCAGCCCAAGGGAGGATGCTGGGTCCTCCTACAGAGTGGTCCTGAGTCCCTTCTCAGGTGGTCCTGGGTCCCCTCTTGGGGCAGTACTGGGGCTGCCTCAGAATCCATCCTGGGCTCCCCTTGGGGTGGTCCCTTGTCCCACTCAGAGCCGTCCTGGGTCCTCCAGGCTCCTTCCTGCCCCATACTTCAGGATGCTGGTTTGAGGAGGGTCCAGGCCAGTTGTGGCCCCTGGCCTCCATCACTGCTGGGGGCACAGGCGTCCCCCCGTCCTTGGCTGTGACCCCCGGCCTCCATCACTGCTGGGGACACATGGTTCCCCCGTCCCTGGCTGTGGCCCTCACCTCCATCACTACTGGGGGCACAAGCGTCCCCCCATCCCTGGCTGTGGCTCCCACCTCCATCACTGCTGGGGACACATGGTGCCCCTATCCCTGGCTGTGGCCCCTGCCTCCATCACTGCTGAGGACACAGGACCCCTTGTCCCTGGCTGTGGCCCTGAGCATCTGCCCTTTGCCTCCCACATGGCCGAGGGTGAAACTGAATCCGGCACAAAGACACCCGGGCTATTTTGGAGCTGGGCTGGGCCGGCCTGGCCGGTGCAGGGGGTGGGGTGGGGGCGGGCCCAACCTTCTCCAGCTGACAGCGTCCGCCTGTCCTTTCGTCCCCATCCAGTTTGAAGAGCGGCCGGAGTGTGGGCTGCTGGTGGGCAGCCTGCTGGTCCTGGGCCCTCGGAGGGAGGTGAGACCCGGCAGCCCCCACCCCCACAGCCTGTGCCCCGGCCTGTGTGCTGCCCAGAGCTCCCATAGAGAGAGGTGAGGAGGCAGAGACTGTACAGGGTGGGGGCCATTCTGTGTCCCGGAGGGTGGCTCGGCTGAAGGTCACGTCTGGGGAATGGGGGAGCCTTCAGGGTCTGGCCGAGATGCAGCTCCCTGTGGTGGGGCTGGGGTTCCAGCCCCTGCTCCCTCCGAGCCTAAAGCTGGGCCCTCACATGGGATGGAGCTGCCTGGCCGGCCTGGGGCTGCAGGGTGGACAGGGTGGTGTCCTGCACCCACCCAGCCTCCACCCAGGAGTTGACCCTCGCTCAGAGAGCGGCCAGGGGGTCCGGCTGGCCCTGCCCCCAGCGCTGCTGAGATAGATGCCCGCTGACAGCTGGGGCTATTTTGGGCCTGTTGCCTCAGCAGAGGGGACAGCCAGAGGGGCGCTGACACCTGACTCCAGGAAAGAATTTTCCCGGAGCGCTTGAAGCCTCCAGTGGGGTCTAAGGTGAGGCGCAGCCCCGGGGCACTGCCCTTGGAAGTCCGTTCTGGAAAGGCGAGGGGGCAATGGCTGCCCAGGTTGCCTGTCAGCGTGGGGGTGGGGAGGGCCGGCAAGGCGGCGCCCTGGGAGCTGCCTCTTACTCTGACCTCTTTCCGAGGATGGTCCCAGGGCCCCTGGAGGACAAGAGTGGCAAAGTTCTGCAACAGTCAGGGGGAGGGCTGCTGGGGGTGGGTGGCTGTGGTGGGGCCTGTCACCGGAGCATGGGGCAGTCCCACAGAGCTGGAGGGAGGTCTCTGAGGGGCCGAGGAGCCCAAGTGTGGTCCGTGGTGGGGAAAAGGCTTTCCTGGGAGGCTGAGGGCTGAGGTCTCTCCGTCCTGGGGAAGCTTGTAGGTTGTCCAGACTAAAAATGTGGCAGAGAAAGAAGACAGCCTCTGTGGATGTCCCAGTGTCCGATGAGTTTCCTTGGAGCCCCAGGGGTGGCCGTGGTGGCCTCCTTCCCGCTCAGCCTGATTCCTCATCTGTGACATGGGTTGTCAGGGAAGAGGGTAGCTCCCGAACTCTTGCATGGCGAGCCCCCTCTCTGGCCTCAGGCCTGCTGACTGGTAGGGATGCCTCCTGACCGGGCTGCCATGAGCCCCCCAGACCCTGCAGTTGGCCTCCTGAGCCTGCACCAGGTGACAGAATGCAGGCCCCAGGGCCATGGTGCCATCCCACAAGGACCTCAGTGTCTCTACCCGCTCTCCCCAGGCCAGGGTGAGCCTGTGTGCCCCGTCCCTTCAGCATGGGCAGTAACGTGAGCTCCCTGACTGTCCTGGTCCTCTTGGTCCAAAGAGGCCGCCCACAAACGCCGCCTCATCTGTCGTTCCACTGTGACCCTGGCAGAGCCAGGTGGGGCTCTGGGTGTGGAAGAGGCTGGGGGACAGGACATCCTATTCTGCTTTTGGGGAACCCACAGACCAGCTGGCTGTATGATTTTTTTCTTTTATTTTTTTGAGATGGAGTCTTGCTCTGTCACCCAGTCTGGGGTGCAGTGGCTTGATCTCGGCTCACCGCAACCTCTGCCTCCCAGGTTCAAGCAGTTCTCCTGCCTCAGTCTCCCCAGTAGCTGGGACTACAGGCGTGCACCACCACACCTGGCTAATCTTTTGTATTTTTAGTAGAGACGGGGGTTTCACCATGTTAGCCAGGATGGTCTTGATCTCCTGACCTTGTGATCAGCCTGCCTCAGACTCCCAAAGTGCTGGGATTACAGGTGTGAGCCACAAAGAGACTGGGCTTTGCACTGTTGCCCAGGATGGAGTTAATCATAGCTCACTGCAGCTTTGACCTCCTGGGCTCAGGCAATCCTCCCATCAGCTTCTTGAGTAGCTGGGACAGCAGGCAACTGCCACCACTTCCAGTTAATTAAAAAAAAAATTTTTTTTTTTTGTAGAGATGGGGTCTCACATGTTTACCAGGCTGGCCTGGAACTTCTGGGCTCAAGGGATCCTCCTGCCTCTGCCTCCCATAGTGCTGGGATTACAGGTGCTTGCCACCACACCTGGCCTGACTGTATGACTTTGGAGAGTGCTGGGGACAGCCCAGAGCTCATGGGCCCTGGAGAGCTGATGTCAGAGTAGCCTTTGAGTCCTGGGAGGTGCCCACGGAGGCAAATCCCCAGAAAGGGCGAAACTCGGACCCCAGTGCCTGCTGTGGGCGGGCCCCTGCCCAGATCCTCCCCAGCCCCAGAGCCCTGCTGTGGGTGGGGGGCTGGCCTGCGGCAGAGGTGCTGACTGCACAGTGAGTCAGCAGACCGGTACCCACAGCCCAGCCCTGCTCCAGCCTCAGCAGCCCAAAGGGATTAAGGGGATTAACTACCTGAATCACAGGACCAGGAGGAGGGCCCGGGAACGCCGCCTTGGCTTAGCCCACAGTGGGCAGCCCAGGCCCAGAAGCCGGAGGCTCTGGCCCAAGGGAGGGTGCAGGCAAGGTGCCCTGGTGGGGCTGTCTCCACCATGGGGTGGTTGTGCCTGCCAGGGCTGGAGGGAGTCAAGGCGCCCCAGGCCAGCCCAGTGCTGGGGGGCCCACTCCCACCTGCTGTTCCTACAGAGGAGCTGCACAGGCAGGGTAGCGTCACCCACACCATCTACATGGGGGGACCTGTACTGGGGGTGGCTGGCCTGGTGGGTCTCCTCCTGGGGTAGTCAAAGGCCAGCATCACCTGGGGCCTTTGGCACTGAGGTGACCCCTCAACCCTGCAGCACGTCCAGCTGGTCAGTGTGGCTGAGAACTGCGGGGTGACCAGGTTGGGTGCAGCTGGCCCAGCCCAGCTGGTCTCAGCTTGAAGGTCTCCCGCCCTTCCAGGGGGATGTTACTGGCCTTGCCAGCTCCAGACTCTGGGGGTACCCCAGCTGTGCTCCCCAGCCAGATCCCTGACTGTGCTGCCCACGCATCCCCATCCAACCATGGGGCTCAGTGGAGGGGCCTGGGAGCAAGGAGCTGATTGGTTTCTGGTCCTTCCCCCTCATAGATGGAGTGTGCCCCCGGGTGGGGGAGGGAGGTGTGTGACCCTGCAGAAGAGGTGAGGCCCCTCTGCGGACAGGCTGGCCCCTCAGTGCAGCCTGGAGGGGCTGCTGAAGGAGTTGCCTGGGGTTAGGGGGAAGAGGACGGAGTAAGGGCGGTGCCCAGAGCAGAGGATGCAGCTCACCTAGAAAAGGCTCAGAGGGCAGCCTGCCACGGTAGAGAACCCGTGACCATGTTGTGCCATGGGACAAGGGACCAGTGCCAATGGTGGGCCTCCTGTACCCAGGCCTGGCAGGGCTCAGCAAGCATCCCCTTCTTGTTGTGGAGGGCACACAGGCCAGCTGAAGTTTTAGGCCTGGGGAGGCAGCAGTGTGTGGAGCAGGACAAAGGACCCCCACCCCTGCAGGTAGAGTGGCTCACAGGGTACTAGCAGGTCTGTGTGCTGCAGCAAGGCGTGTAGGCTGGGAGGAACCGAAAATAGCTGCCTGCTTGCTGGGGGGTGTAGGTTCGGGACATGTGCTCCAGTGACTGCAGCTGGGACAGCGGGCGTCGGGCGTCGGTAGGGAGAGGGAAGGAGATGTTCTCAGCGGCTAGAAAAGCCATTTGCAGGTGAGGGCACCAAATTCCAAATGCACAGAAAGGGGCAAATCTGCGCTCCTGGGCCACGGTGCCAACCGGTGATGCTTCCTCAGGGCACGCGGGAGGAAGGGTGTGTGGAGGTGTTGAACTGGGTTCTTCTGGCGGCACGGTGGGGTGCATCCGGGCCTCGTTCCCATCTCCATCCACTAAGGCCATCCCCACCTCCTCGCAGGTCCCCGCCGCCACCCTCATGGATCAGCCCCAGTTCAGCGGGGCGCCCCGCTTTCTCACCCGGCCCAAGGCCTTTGTCGTATCGGTGGGCAAGGATGCCACGCTCAGCTGCCAGATCGTGGGTAATCCCACGCCACAGGTGAGCTGGGAGAAGGATCAGCAGCCGGTGGCGGCGGGCGCGCGCTTCCGTCTGGCCCAGGATGGCGACCTGTACCGCCTCACTATCCTGGACCTGGCGCTGGGCGACAGTGGGCAGTACGTGTGCCGCGCGCGCAATGCCATAGGCGAGGCCTTCGCGGCCGTGGGCTTGCAGGTGGACGCGGAGGCTGCGTGCGCAGAGCAGGCGCCGCACTTCCTGCTGCGGCCCACGTCCATCCGCGTGCGCGAGGGCTCAGAGGCCACGTTCCGCTGCCGCGTGGGTGGCTCCCCGAAGCCCGCGGTGAGCTGGTCCAAGGACGGGCGGCGCCTGGGGGAGCCCGACGGCCCCCGCGTGCGCGTGGAGGAGCTCGGCGAGGCGAGTTCACTGCGCATTCGGGCGGCGCGGCCGCGCGACGGCGGCACTTACGAGGTCCGCGCGGAGAACCCGCTGGGCTCCGCCAGCGCCGCAGCTGCGCTCGTGGTGGACTCGGATGCCGCGGACACAGCCGGCCCGCCGGGAACCTCCACGGCCGCGCTCCTGGCGCACCTGCAGCGGCGGCGCGAAGCCATGCGTGCCGAGGGCGCCCCCGCCTCGCCGCCCTGCACCGGCACGCGCACCTGCACGGTGACCGAAGGCAAGCACGCGCGCCTCAGCTGCTACGTGACCGGCGAGCCCAAGCCCGAGACGGTGTGGAAGAAGGACGGCCAGCTGGTGACCGAGGGCCGGCGCCACGTGGTGTACGAGGACGCTCAGGAGAACTTCGTGCTCAAGATCCTCTTCTGCAAGCAGTCAGACCGCGGCCTCTACACTTGCACGGCGTCCAATCTTGTGGGGCAGACCTACAGCTCCGTGCTGGTCGTAGTGCGCGGTGAGCTCCCGGGTGCGGGGCGCGCGGGCCCAGGACCCTCCCCAATCCCTGCACCTGCGTCCTTTCCGCCCTTGCGGCCGCTGCCGTTTCCCGCTCGCGTCTGTCGGGTCGTGGAATCCAGAGTTGCAGGTGTCGGTTCCTGGTGCACAAATTGCGGGCGACGCGGGCGACGACCCTCGGCCTGTCCTAATGAGCCGCAGCCCACTTTCTCCGTCCAGTCCCCTGCCCGCCCGCCCCCTGCCCCACCCCACCCCACCGGTCGCCCACACACAGACCGAGAGGAGTGAGAGTGGCTGGGCCGCAGGGGATTCCCACCTCCTCAGTCCCACCCTCTCCCTTGCTCTGTTCCAGCCCCAACCTCCACCTCTCCGCCTCCTGCTCTTCTACTCCTCCGCCCCTAACTTTGCGTCTCCTAAGTGCCCTTCTCACCCCCAGCCCCTTGGCCTCCTGCTCGCTCCTCTCCTCACCCCACTCCTCTCCCCTGCACCCTCCCCTTTCCATATTCCCGCGCCTCTGCGTCGTCCCCTGCTCCTTCGCACACCCCCAACCCCGCATCTCCCCCCCACCCCTCCTGCGCCCCGCACCCTCCGGCCCCGCCCTATCACCAGTCTCCGCTCCTCTCGGCAGAGCCCGCGGTTCCCTTCACGAAGCGGCTGCAGGATCTGGAGGTGCGGGAGAAGGAGTCGGCCACGTTCCTGTGCGAGGTGCCCCAGCCGTCCACCGAGGCCGCGTGGTTCAAGGAGGAGACGCGGCTGTGGGCGAGCGCCAAGTACGGCATCGAGGAGGAGGGCACCAAGCGCCGGCTGACCGTGCGCAACGTCTCGGCCGACGACGACGCGGTGTACATCTGCGAGACGCGGGAGGGCAGCCGCACCGTGGCGGAGCTCGCCGTCCAAGGCAGGCGGGGGGCGCGGGGGCGGCTTCGGGGAGGGGGGGGCAAGGAGGCACCGAAGAGGGAGGAGAGCCAGGCCTACTGGTTGGGCGGGCACGGGGCGGATGGGCTGGACCCGGGGCTGGCGAGAGACGAGTTTGGACCCGGGGAGGCAGGGGCGGGACTGGGGATGGCAGAGCAGGTAAGGTGGGGGTGGGGAAGCAAGGTAGGGCTGGGCACCGGCGGGGATGGCGGGAATGGCGGGGCAGTGGGTAGGGGTCTCGCAGGACCCAGCTGGGATTGGGGCGGGCCGGACAGGTAAGGGATTGCACGATGGAGTGAATTGGAGGCACTTGGGAAACCGGGGACAGGGGCGGGCAGAGGAGCGAGTCCGAGGCGGGGCGCGCAGGAGCTGTTGTGACGGCCCGGCTCCCTCCACCCCAGGAAACCTTCTCCGAAAGCTCCCTCGGAAGACGGCGGTGCGCGTGGGCGACACGGCCATGTTTTGCGTGGAGCTGGCGGTCCCGGTGGGCCCCGTCTGCTGGCTGCGGAACCAGGAGGAAGTGGTGGCCGGGGGCCGCGTGGTCATCTCTGCGGAGGGCACGCGCCACACACTGACCATCTCCCAGTGTTGCCTGGAGGATGTGGGCGAGGTGGCCTTTATGGCTGGCGACTGTCGGACGTCCACCCAGTTCTGCGTGGCGGGTGAGGGCCTGGTGCTCCCAGGGTGGCATCCCTTCCCTGCTGCCTCCGGGTTTCAGTCCCCTGCCCTCCCTTGGCTCAGCTCTCTAGGCTCCAGCTGCTGCACCTAGGGCCTGTAAGGTTAGCCCCCTCCCCCAGCCCTTGCCCCCCAGGTTAGCCGTCCTGCTCCCCTGCGCCCTTGCAGTCTTTCAGCTGCAGGCAGAGAAGTGGCTGCAGTTCTGGGGCTGGAGGTTGTGGCCAGTGGTCCAGGTCCCCAGAGCAGCCCCAGGAGAGCTGGGGATCCTGTGACTCCCCTCCAGGTGACTCTAGACCCAGGGCTCAGGGAGAGGCTCCCAGTAGGTGACCTCTGCCCACCCTCTCCGCAGCCCCCAGGAAGCCTCCTCTGCAGCCCCCTGCGGATCCAATGGTGAAGGCCAAGACGGAGAGTTCTGTGACCCTCAGCTGGTCCCCACCACCCCAGGGGGAGTGCCCTGTCGCCATTGATGGCTACCTGGTGGAGAAGAAGCAGCTTGGCACCTATACCTGGAGCCGGTGCCACGAGGCTGAATGGGTGGCCACACCTGAGCTGATCGTGACGAATGTGGCCGAGGAGGGGGACTTTCAGTTCCGAGTCTCAGCTCTCAACAGCTTTGGTCAGAGTCCCTACCTCGAGTTCCCAGGGACCGTCCACCTGGGTGAGAGGGGCCTCACGGTTACAACCTATAGGGTTGCCCACCTGCCCCAGAGTTCCCCAGGTCCAGCCTCAGGGGAGGCCAGAGTGACCTCATGGAGACCTTCTGTGGGGAGAGGGGCTGCCAAGGCTCTGCCCTGGTGCAGTGTCCGTGGTGGGAAGGAGAGGTGACCTCATGACAGGGCCCCTGGGAGGGGCTGCCCCCTCTGGTGGGGCTTGCAGGATGCTGGAGGGGTCTCAGGGTGGCTGTACTTTGTCCTTGTTCCTTCATGAGCCTGACTTGTGCTGTGGTCCCTGTGTGTGCTGGCCGGGCTTCCTGGAGGAGGAGAAGAGCTTCCAGGCTCTGTAGGAAGAGGAGGGGAAGGCAAAGACGCCCTCAGCACTCCCCACTCCTCCCCTGCCCCTTCCTGACACTGCCCACCCCACAGCCCCCCAGCTGGCGGTGAGGACACCGCTGAAGGCAGTGCAGGCAGTGGAGGGTGGCGAGGTCACCTTCTCCGTGGACCTCACGGTGGCCTCAGCGGGTGAGTGGTTCCTGGACGGGCAGGCCCTGAAGGCCAGCAGTGTGTACGAGATCCGCTGTGACCGCACCCGGCACATGCTCACCATCCGGGAGGTGCCCGCCAGCCTGCACGGGGCACAGCTCAAGTTCGTGGCCAACGGCATTGAGAGCAGCATCCGTATGGAGGTTCGGGGTAGGTGGGGGGCCCCGACCTGGGACCCTGAGCCCTGTTTCTCTTGGGTGGGCCAGGCCAGGGCTCCGGGTGGGGCTGCCACAGGTCTGAGGGTTCCAGGCCACCCTGTCAGCCTGCAGGTCGCTGGGATGAAGCAGGAGGGCAGTGGGCGTGCGGGGACTCACCCGGGCTGGCTGGTGCACCGGTCCCCGGTGTCTGGGTGAGGGCCTGGGGCCGCAGGAGTCCCGCTGGGCAGAGCCTCATGTCCGTCTCCCTCTCTCCCTCCTTTCCCCGTCCTCCCTTCTCTGCCTTGTTCATCTTTTCCCTTCTGCTGCTTTCCTGTCTCTCTCTGTGCTGTCCCCCACCCCATCCCATGCCTGGCTGTTCCGCCTCCATCTCCCGCGCTTCTCTGGTATCTTGGTGACCTCTGTTCTGCCACTGTCTCCCCTGGCGGCCTCTCCCCCACTGTCCTCCTGCGCTGTTCTCCTGGCTCCCTCCCTTCCTTTTATCTCTTTCTCTGCCCTGTGGCTTGTCTCCCCTTCCGTCCATTCTCCTCTGCCCACCTTTCTGTGCCCCTTCCGTCCATTCCCCTCTGGCCACGCATGCCCGGCCCCCAGCGGCACCAGGGCTGAGTGCCAACAAGCCACCAGCCGCAGCTGCCCGGGAGGTGCTGGCTCGGCTGCATGAGGAGGCACAGCTGCTGGCCGAGCTGTCAGACCAGGCTGTGGCTGTGACGTGGCTGAAGGACGGTTGCACGCTGCCCCCGGGCCCCAAGTATGAGGTGCAGGCTTCGGCCGGGCGGCGGGTGCTGCTTGTGCGAGATGTGGCCCAGGACGATGCCGGCCTCTACGAGTGCGTCAGCCGCGGGGGCCGCATTGCCTACCAGCTGTCCGTGCAAGGTAGGGGCGGCTGGCAGGCTCCATGGGGTTCTCTGACTGTGGCGAGGGTGAGGGACAGGGCAGTGGGGGCCAGCCCGGCTTGGTAGGAGGAGGGACTCCGTAACTGGGTGGTTGCTCTAGTGGGCACCAGTCCCATAGTTGGAGTCAGCAGGCCGAGCTGGCCGCTTGCCCAACAGGGTCCCTCTGGCCTGGGTGAGCCTGGGTGTCCTGTGCGTGGTCTCAGAAGCCGGAGCAGCTCCAGCCTGTGGGCCCTGTGGCCTCACTCCCTCTGGGCCTCTGCAGTCCCCGACCCGCCCTGTGTCCCGCAGGCCTCGCGCGCTTTCTGCACAAGGACATGGCGGGCAGCTGTGTGGATGCGGTGGCTGGTGGCCCGGCGCAGTTCGAGTGTGAGACTTCGGAGGCCCACGTCCGCGTGCGCTGGTACAAGGATGGCGTGGAGCTGGGCCGCTCCGGTGAGCGCTTCTTGCAGGAGGACGTGGGGACGCGGCACCGGCTGGTGGCAGCCATGGTCACCAGGCAGGATGAGGGCACCTACTCCTGCCATGTGGGCGAGGACTCTGTGGACTTCCGGCTCTGCGTCTCTGGTGAGCACGCAGTGTGTGCATGCGTCCCGGCCCACATGGGGTGGGGAGCAGGTCCGGCTGCACCCAGCACAGCGGGATTGACCTTCCTGGCCCTTCTTCTCTCCAGCAAATGGTTGAGGCTGTCAACTGCAAAAAAATCAAGGTTTTAAAAGGATTAGTTCTATTCAGAAGGCTCAGTGAGGATTGCAGCCCAGGAGAGTCTTTCAGACTTTCTGCTGAGCTGCTCCAAATCAGAGTTTCAGCCCGCAGCTGATACACAGGCGGCGAAGTCTCTGCGGCTGCCCAGAAGGTACCTCCGAGCCAAAGCCACTCCCAGCCTGTGTGCAGCTGGCTGCAGAGACGCAGCCATGAATGCTGCCGGACATGATCTCCCCGTGCAGGGAGAAGAAAGGGCCAGCACCACTGAACTTATGTTTCCTAAAAATGCCGTGCTTTAGGCAAGAGACTGGGCAGCTCTGCCCTCCCAGGGCCGTGCCCACGCACCACGCCGGGCCGGGACCGTGCTCACCCACCGGCTCACTCACCGGGCCGGGGCCTTTCCCACTCACTGGGCGGGGGCTGGCGGATGCCACTGGCAGAGCAGGAGGAGCGCAAACAGCTTCTTAGGTTTGCTGCCTCATCACAGAGGACATTTGCTTCTCTGGGAGAAGAAATGACATGAAAAACTAACGTTTACGCGGGTACAGAATCCAAGTGTAAAAAAAAACTAAAAAGAAAAAAAAAAGAATCCAAGTGTAGACAATAAGAAAAGACACATGAAGGAGCTTTGGAAGGTGGGCGTGGACTCGATCTCATTTGGGCTTTCGGAGGGTCTTTCTTGTCTGCCCTGGCCTCCGTAACCCTTACCCCGACCCCGGGCTCGCTCACAGCTCTGCGGACACTCTTGTGTATTGTGTGTTTGTGGGCCAGGCTCAGGGCTGGGCACTTCATTTAAAATGTGCCTTTTTTGTTTGTTTGTTTTTGAGACGGAGTCTTGTTCTGTTGCCCAGGCTGGAGTGCAGTGGCGCTCCACAACCTTCACCTCCTGGGTTCAGGTGTGTCTCCTGCTTCAGCCTCCTGAGCAGCTGGGACTACAGGCGCGTAGCACCACGCCTAGCTAATTTTTGTATTTTTAGTAGAGACAGGGTTTCACTATTCTGGCCAGGCTGGTTTCGAACTCCTGACCTTGTGAATCACCTGCCTTGGCCCCCCAAAGTGCTGGGATTATAGGAGTGAGCCACTGCACCTGGTCTAAAATCTGTTTTTATTTTATTTTATTTTATTTTATTTTGTGTTTTTGAGATGGGGCCCTCCCAGGTTGGAGCGCAGTGGCGCCATCTCGGCTCACTGAGGCCTCGACGTGACAGGCTCAGGCCATCCTCCCACCTCAGCCTCCCAAGTAGCTGGGACCACAGGCACGCACTATCAAGCCCAGCTAATTTTTGCATATTTTGTAGAGACGAGGTCTTGCTGTGTTGCTGAGACTTGTCCCAAATTCCTGGGCTCAAGCAATCCTCCTGCCTCAGCCTCCCAAAGTGCTTGGGCCAAAAATGTTTCTACAGCCCTTCTCTTCCTTTCTAAGATGAGGGACTGAGGCTGAGCAGAGCCACAGGCTGGAGTGTCTTTGACAGGTTAAGATTGGAACATAGGTGGCTCTGAGCCCTGGCTCTTTCTGGAAGCCTCCTGGGCTCAGCGATTTCACCTGGGAGGCTGGAGGAGGAACACAGGGCTTCTCAGGGAGCGTGCCTGCCAGGCCTCCGTGGGCTGGGTCCCACTCACAGACCCCACAACAGGGAGGGCCCCAAGGCTGGGCTCTGCCGAACTACCCTGCTGGCTTCCAGGGACAAGTGTGTGGGCGTTTCATGGATAAAAGTTTAAAAGTCTCACCAGTCCAGCCTTCTAACTCTCACAGTCCAGTGGCCGATTTGTCCACAAAGCAGAACACAGCCTGCGCCTGCTCTCTGTTGCTTGAGCAATCAGGGGAGCGTCTGTGAAGCTGAACTTTCTTTCCGTCGTAGCCCACGTGATGGCCCATGTCTGCAGGCGATGGACCTCCAGGACGGGCGGGAGTTCAGGGGAAGGAGAGACAGCACCCTGGGTCTGCGAGGGACGCTCAGTCCACCAGGCCCTCTTGTAGCTTCTTGGAGGCACACGCCTCACCCTCCTGGCGCATGCCAAGGCCCTCGCTGGGCAGGGGTTGGGTGTCACAGCTCCCTGTGCATGGGAAGAGCCATGCCTGAGTACACGGACCACGAAGGATCCCGTGGCAGGACTCTGTGTGCCTGGGGTACAGAACCTGGTAACAAAGAACTGGGCCCTGCAAACCTCGCTTGGAAGGGCCTCTGATCCCACCTCCCTCCTTGTTCATTCCCAGAGCCCAAGGCAGTGTTTGCCAAGGAGCAGCCGGCACGCAGGGAGGTGCAGGCCGAGGCGGGGGCCAGCGCCACGCTGAGCTGCGAGGTGGCCCAGGCCCAGACGGAGGTGATGTGGTACAAGGATGGGAAGAAGCTGAGCACCAGCTCGAAAGTGCACGTGGAGGCCGCGGGCTGCACGCGGAGGCTGGTGCTGCAGCAGGCGGGCCAGGCGGACGCCGGGGAGTACAGCTGCGAGGCCGGGGGCCAGAGGGTCTCCTTCGGCCTGCACGTGGCAGGTGAGTCCCCGGTGGCGTGGTCAGCGCCTGTCCAGGGGTGGAGTGTGTGCTGCGCTGGCCCTGGGCGTCCCTGCCCCTCTCTGCGTCGTCTGCTCCTGCCCTGCAGGGAATGGCCATGCTGCTCGCTGTGACGAAATCCAGCATTCAAAGGGAATGTTCCCGCTTGCCCATTCAGTGTAATACTGGCTGTGGGTTTGTCATAAATAGCTCTTATTATTTTGAGATATGTTCCATCAATACCTAGTTTATTGAGAGTTTTTAGCGTGAAGGGACGTTGAATCTTGTTGAAGACCTTTTCTGCACATGTCCCCCAGAACTTAAAGTATGATAATACTATAGAAAAGAAAATCGCGCTGTGCTGGCAGCCAGGATCTCTTGATGTGTCTTCAGAAGCCTGTCTTCTGCTCCTGGTTGAGACCTGGCATTGCCATGTGGCTTTTGTCTTCCTTCAGAAGGGGCTGCAGTCCCAGCTGACCCTGGAGTCTGCGCTCTAGCAGGGCCCCTAAGTGCGTCCTCACTGCTCCCAGCCTCAGCACATGGGATGGCTTTCCTCCTCTGCAGCTTCTGCCTCTGGTGTAGAAGGAGCCGGGAAGGTGCTGGAAGCTCACGCTGGGCTGGAGTTGCCTTAAGATGACCTGTGTGGGCCCCACCACGGCTTTAGAGTGAGCCCCGCTCCGGGCGGGTTTGTGGCAGCCCTGCCACCTGCCCCTGAGGGCCGCTGTGGTGCCCTGGTGCCTGCAGGTGCTCCGTGTGTCCTGTGGAGGGGCTGGTCTTGGTTGTGGGGGGAGCAGCCCTCTACCCTCAGCGCTCTGTGGACGGGGGATGGGACCCGCAGCAGGTCCCTATCCAGCGAGGTCTCCTCAGACCCTCCTCCGTAGCTGCCATGCTGCCCTGGTTGAGACTCTGTGTGCAGGGAGAGGTTCAAATAGCAAAACTGGTTGGTTTGTTTTTGGTAGTTTTTTGTCAGTTTTTGCTTTTTGCTAACTTCTTTCAAGATTTGTCTCTTCCAGCTTCCTATGTGGGAGCGACATATCTACTTTGTCTTGGTGCCTGCGTTAAACTTTCCCGTGTGGCCTCTGATTGCATATAGAAAGTTGTGTTTGTTACCATAACATTACACTCTGGTGCCAACAGGTTTCTTTTTAAGTTGAGACAGAGTCTCATTTTTAGTAGAGACAAGGGTTTCGTCATGTTGGTCACGCTGTTCTCCAACTCTTGGCCTCAAGTGATCCACCTGCCTCCCAAAGTGCTGGGATTACTACGCCCAACCCAACAAGTTTTTAATAATGACATTTGGGGTGTAATTGATGCACAGATTTTAAGTTATCATTCGAGGAATTTTGGAAAATGTCGATAACTGTACTCCACCATGTCCGAATCAAGGTACTGAGTGTCTCTGTTCCCTCGTGCAGTCCACCCTCCACCCTGCCCCAGACAGCTGCCGTCCTGATTCTTTCCCTGTAGGTCAGTTGCGCCTCTTCTAGAACATCACTGAAATGTTCAGAAACCCACCCTCTGCAAACTGACTTGGAATGGGACATCAAATGTACAGGCAACCTTGAAAAAAGGGATTGTCTAGAGACCAAAAAGTAAGAGGGAACCACAGGGTGGGCGCAGTGGCTCACAGCTGTACTCCCAGCACTGGTGGGCCGAGGTGGGAGGCTCCCTTGAGCCAGAAATTTCAAGACCAGCCTGGGCAACATAGTGAGACCCCGCCTTTACAAAACATAAAAAAGTAGAATAAGAAAATAGAAAAACCCAAAAGACAAAAGAATGACTGAGTGAAATTGGGGTCTGCGTGTACCTTGTGGTGCCACAGAGCAGTGGGAGTGAGTGCGGGCTGCGCACTGCAGCCGAAGAAGGGCGCCGGACGCCCGCGGCGTTGTGCTGGAAAAGCAGGCTACAGAGCCCAGCGTGACGTGATGTGTTTAGCGGTTAACGGTACCCGGTGGCGGCGGCACACGGCTGCCACACGGCTTGTCTCCTGCCTGGAATCCCCGGAGACCCTCTTCTCAGCGAGCCACATACCTCACCTGTGTGAGTCCTACATCATTCTATTTCAGATGGCAGGGAGCCGGTGCACAGAGGTTAAGTCACTTTGCCAAGGTCACATGGCGGGTAACGTTTGGGCAGAGCAGCCTGGCGTGCACATCCATCCTCTGTAAACACACGTGCCCAGACAATAAAAGGAGATGCCAAAACCAGGATTCAGGCTGGGGCACCTCTAGGGGCTGGGGAACGTGTGGGTGTTTGTCGTCTGTCAGGTGGGGAGCGTGCGGGTGTTCACTGTCTGTCAGGTGGGGAGCGTGCGGTGTTTGTCGTCTGCCAGGTGGGGAGCGTGCAGGTGTCAGTCTGCCAGGTGGGGAGCGTGCAGGTGTCAGTCTGCCAGGTGGGGAGCGTGCAGGTGTCAGTCTGCCAGGTGGGGAGCGTGCAGGTGTCAGTCTGTCAGGTGGGGAGCGTGCGGATGTTCACTGTCTGCCAGGTGGGGAGCGTGCGGGTGTTCACTGTCTGCCAGGTGGGGAGCGTGCGGTGTTTGTCGTCTGCCAGGTGGGGAGCGTGCAGGTGTCAGTCTGCCAGGTGGGGAGCGTGCGGATGTTCACTGTCTGCCAGGTGGGGAGCGTGCGGATGTTCAC